CTTATGGTTGAGGGTGTGAGACATTGAACACATCATCGGAATGCAGTGGAAGTGTATAGTTATTCCTTTGTTAAACCCCTCACTGGAGTTTTAACTTTGTCAGTACAATGCTTGAAACTGAATTAAACAGTGTTAACATAAATTGGAACGGTATGCCTTCGCTCATAACTAACAAGGAATGGTTGAAAATTTATTCCAATTAATTACGGCAAAAATTAGTAAGAGGATGGCAAATTCCAAGATAAAAGCAAAAAAGCAGTGTCTTGTAACGGGTTTTTCATAACAAATAAGTGACATCTTATGTTGAGCTTAAAAAAATACATTCTGAACATTTAAAATTTCATTGAGTCTTGGATGTAATGTGCAACCATGAGAGTGGGTTTCAAAACATTATTATTATTGTCATTAATTCTTCATTCAAGCAAGCCTACAGTGGTTAGATTATGTAAGTAAATAGATTACATTGTCGGTAAACGTAAAGTATTGGTGTCCTTCCCTTTGAGCTTATCCATGCAAGTTTAATTTACTCAAAACAAAATTTGTAAAAAAATAATTTAACTTTTTGATTTTTCTTATCAATAATTTCCTTTTTGGGAAGGGCTCCATAATAATATACAATTACCACATTGTCATTACACCACAATTTGAAAGGATAATTTTTCCATTTCCCTCTATCTTGGACACCTCTGTAAGTTGGACACATTATCGTGGAACCGCAAGTGTCCAAGTTAGAGAGGTTTTACTGTAGTTTTTTTAATCATGAAATGAATGGGTTGAATGAATAGACATTTCAGAATTGTGACTTGCAACATGCAACGTGAATGAAGTGGAAGGTTAAGCTATAGAAAGTCTGCAAAACTTTTCATTCTTAAGGAAGACTAGGCAGTACCTGAGGGAATGATCATAATGCATATAAATTTATGTCAATTGACCATTTTGTCAATTTTTTATGTTTGGTTACAGTATTATTCAAATCCTGGTACTTGGTATTTTAGATGTTCATAGACTTATAAAATTCTAATGATTAATATGTAGCAGAACATTGTGCTTGCGAGAGTGACTAAGACCCTTGTGCCGTCAAATTTTGCCTCCAGATATACAGTGTGTCCACAAAGTCCCTTCGGGGTTTTGAAAAATTGTGGCGCGCAAACAAATTGAGCTAGCCACATGCGGTTTGCGGCAGATTACAGTGAAACTCTGGAAGTTTTTTACTGACCTCAGTAGACCTCGATGTGGGCTCCCTTGGTAGCACGGAGAACGTCCAGACGATATTCGAGCTCTTGCCATGTTCTGTGGAGCATGTCCGCTGGAATAGCCGAGATCTCATTCCTAATACGGGTCATCAAGTCCATTAACAGGTGTTTGGAACACATCGCTCTTGACATAACCCTACAGGAAAAAATCCAGTGGTGTTATGTCTGGTGAACGTGGAGGCCAAGGCATTGGACCTGTTTTGCCGATCCATCTTCCTGGAATGTCCTGTCTAGGCACAGCGCGTACCTGCAGACCCCAATGAGGTGGAGCACCATGTTCCAGAGTTTCACTGTAATCTGCCGCAAACCGCATGTGGCTAGCTCAATTTGTTTGCGTGCCACAATTTTTCAAAACCCCGAAAGGACTTTGTGGACACACTGTATATATATATATATATATATCAACCAAGTGGTAATTTTGGGTTCTCTGCTATGTTGCTGCATGTTTATTTGGCACAGGTATTAGAACAAGAAATACATTAAACTCTCATAATTGTGTGTGGAAACTCTCTTTGCAGCATTAACGAGCTTGAATGGTATTCAGTATTGTATTTCAAATGTCACTCGCACTGGATAGGTAAACACATTTTTAACTCGAAAGAAGTAGTCACTGAAATGTTACTGTTATTGCCAGGGTGCCAGTAAAGAATGTTTGAAAACCCAACATCTCTTAACATTTCTCTAAATATCATTTTGAACTGTAAACTTTTTTTATGCTCAACCAGAGAAAGTGTACTTAAGACATTGTTTGGAATTTAAAAGGATGTCTCTTTGCGTTTCAAGAAGTGTATAAAATCTTTCTCTCATCGATTTCTACAGGATCACCTTAGACATTTTCTCAGATCGATAAATCTTAAAAATATTTATAAAAATTTAAATCGATGTAAATAACATGATAATCTTGAGTGTCAGACAACTTCTAAAATAATTATGTTGTATAATAATTCTCTCTTCACCTTTTGTCTCATTAGTTCCGTAATTTATTTACTTTCTTTATTTTAACTCAAATATTATTTTGAGTAATTCTGCACAATTTATGGTTCCTCGGTGTCTTTCCTGGGTTTCATTATCGTGCTGTAAGATTTTAAGTTACAAAATTATGCACATTTTCTCATTCATCTGTAGAATCTCTCTTATTACCTGATATGTGTATTATAATTATAACGCATGATATTTGTTGCAGTTTTTACATAATGTGGCATTTACTGAACTTAAACTATATTCAGAAGTTCAAATGATTTTAGCTGAAGCTTATATTCACATCCCATCGGTTTGTGTTGTTGCTTCTCCTCCCCCTCCTCCCCCTCCCCCTCCTCCTCCT